AGAAGGCAAGGGGGAGGGGGGGAGGGGCAGACATGGAAGAGGAGGGTGCTCGAGGAATCGCGGGCATGGTTCGGGGCGCGTGAGAGTGGCGACGGGCCGCGCTTCTGTACGGGTTCGGCGCACGGGTTCGGCGTACGTGTTCGGCGCGCTCCTCCTCCTCCCTCTCTCCTCGCCCCGCTGCCCCCCCTGCCCCCGCTTTCTCTGTCCTCCTGCCTACCGCTCCGGTTCCCCGCCCCTCTGCGCCTCCGCCTTCCCTCCCTCTGCCCCCCCCTCCCCCCTTCCGCTCCCCTCCGCCCAGCCCTTCCTGCCTGCGCGACTGGCTCCCGCCGCATGCCGCCCCTTCGTGGCTCGGAGGCCGAAGCCGGTGGTGATGTTGGTGTTGATGGTGATGGTGGTGCTGATGGTGGCGATAATGGTGATGCTGATGGTGAAGATGGCGATGACGGTGGTGGTTGAGGTCCTGATGGCCATGATGAGTTTCATGGCTGTGGTGATGATGATGATGACGACGATGAGGATGTTGATGATGATGGTTATGATGCTGATGCTGATGATGATGATGATGACGATGATGATGATGATGGTAGTGTCGGTGGTGATGGTGGTGGTGATGGTGATGATGATGCTGCTGATGTTGATGATTATTGCGATGCTGATGATGCTAATGATGATGCTGATGATGATTATGATGAAGATGACGATGCTGATGATGATGATGCTGATGATGATGCTGCTGCTGCTGCTGCTGATGATGATGATGATGATGATGATGATGATGATGATGATGATGATGACGAGGGAGAAGGAGAAGATGACGAGGAGGAGGAAGAAGAGGAGGAGGAGGAAGCCTCTTCCACCATCGCCTGCCCCTTCTTGCTTGCTGGTGCCGCTCCTCCCCTTCTCGCTGCTGCGGTTGCTGCTGCTGCCGATCCCCTTCCTCACCTCCTCATCCTGCCTCCTTCTCCTCAGTCTTCCTCCTCGCTCGCTCCTCCTCCCCCCCGCTGCTGTTCCGCCTCCTTCCCATCCATCTCGTGGTCCTCCCCCTCCTGATCCTCCCCGTGCTCCTATGTTCTCTGGTGGGCTGGACCTGGAGGAAACATGTGTCGGGTCTCTGCCGATCTTGAGATCCCTGCTCTTTGTTTCCTGTGGCCGTGCTGGGGCCAACCGTGAGTAGACACGAGCGGGGCAAGTAACGAGGTGCATCAGAAATGAGTGACGGGTAGAGCTAGGACAGTGCACACGCATGTCTCCGAGCAGTATTCGTTTAGCAGGACATCGCAGGGAAACATACCCCCCCTTTCTTTGAGAGCCCCCCCGCGACCCAATCATATTGATCTTGCCGCCAGTTGGGGAGTACGAATGAGAAGCCGGTGTTTTGCATACAGTTGTGTGGCTGCACTGAGGGCAAGGATCGATTAGCCCTGGGGAGTGGCGGGCCTGGTGTGCTTGGTCATATCATGCCGCCTTCGGCCCACGGCGCCAAAGTGCATGCCTACGTCGTGGACAAGAGGGTTCGGAGCTGTCTCTATGGGTTTCTTGGAACGCCTCGTGGGGCCTCTGGAAGTTAGTTTTCCTTGGGGTCTACTAGGGGCGATTTGAAGGCCTCCTGGGGACCTCTTGGGGCTCTCGTGGGCCCTGTTGGGGTCCTCTTGCTGGTCTGGAGGCGGTCTCGGGTGCCGTCTTCGGGTGGAGGGTCCCAACAGCTCCTCGAGGGTGCATCCCCTTAGGCCCCTCCTGAGGGCCTCCTTGGGGGCATCTTGGGCCCCTTTTGCAGGTCCTCTTGGGGCTCTCTTGGGGCCTCCTGGGCTGTCTGGATGTTCTCTTTGGCTGCTCAATGGTTTGGTTGGCTGGATCCCCAGGATGAGCCCCCTGAGGGCATCTCGGCACGTGTTGGAAGCGTGGACCCCCGACCGCGCTCCCAAGGCCCCTGTCAAAGTCACGTAAGAAGCCCCGGATGCGCCTGGGAGCGCCCAGGAGCACCCGGAAGTCCGAGAAGCCCTCGACGACGACGACGAAGGCGACGGCGGCGACGGCGGCGACGACGGCGGCGACGGCGACGACGACGACGACGGCGGCGGCGGCGGCGACGACGACGGCGGCGACGGCGGCGGCGACGGCGACGGCCTCGGCCCGCCCGCGGGCGGCCGACCCCGAGAGCAGAGATGTCGAAGGGACCCGCGGGCACGCGATGCGTCACCCACGCACGGCACGTTCGCGGAGTCGGCCCGAGCTTCGGGGGCGGGGCACCGGAGGAGGGGGAGGAGGGGGAGGAGGAGGAGGAGGAGGAGGAGGAGGAGGAGGAGGAGGAGGGAACGGAGGAGGAGGAGGAAACGGAGGAGGAGGAGGAGGTGGAGGAGGATGAGGATGGTCAGCGCTCCGCACGCATCGCGATTCATGCATGGCTGGGGCGGGACTGGAATCAGGGCGTCTACAACGAGACGCACGATGGCAATCTTGCCATGGCGGCTGCGCAGGTGCCCGGCGCTATTTGTAAGCACGCTCTTTGCAGCATGCGAGAAAATTCAGTCCAGAAGCATCTCCATTCCCAACAGCATTCCATTGTGTACTGTTCAACGCTGTTGGTGCCTGGCTGTAGGCTCGCAGTGTTTCGTCGACGTTTCCTTGCATCCTGAAGTAGTCACGCATTTGACGCATTACAAGTGCAAGTGCACATATTGATTGTGCAGTATCAGGGCTGTGAGTGGTCATGCAGCCGCCGCCGTTCAAACGCCTTCATGACATTGCAGCCGATCTCAGAAGTCAGGTCGCTAGTGTATTCAGGTTCGCTGCCGCCATTGCGCGGTGGGGGAGGCTTCTGGGGGCAGCAAGTCGGACGACCTTAACTGACCACCTCACCAGGATCGGCAGGTCCGATCCAGGGCCAAGGATGGGTCCGACTCCTTGAGATCATCGGTTTCCGTTGTCCAAGGTCCCCTACATGATCAACCCATCGTTCGTTTGACACCATTTCTTTGGTTGGCACCCTTTCCGCTGTGACACACATGGGGCAGTAGACAGGCGCATGTTGGGATCGCTGCGTCAAGCTCCCAGACAATTTTTTCGCGACGGTTGCACTATCGAACAAGGCCGTAGGCCGGACACACACACACACACACAGACGCACACACACACACACACACACACGCACACACACGCCAGCGACTGCGCATCGCGGTCGCAGATTGTCCATGAGTTCTGCAATGGTTACAACAAAGCGTGGCACATACACGTACTTACAGACGTCTATGTACGCATGTACAGATACGCATGTACATGTATCATCAAGTATTCCGTTGCTCATTTTGTATAAAGGTTATTCGTATGTTCATTGTTAAGCACACATATCTACCGAAGTGAACATTGCGCAATGAAGACGCGCTAGGAAGCCTGTGTGGCTTGACCGGCCGCCTGGCACAGATCCAGCCAGGACTGCGGGGGCTCGGGGCGCACGGCATGCCGCCTTGCCACCGCTCCAGGAGGCCGTGTCGCTCACTCCCTCGGAGCGGCGCCAGCCCAGCCCGACGCCCAGCCCCGTCGCCACGCGCCAGGCGATCATGCAGACCAAGCCGCCCCAGTGGCAGAAGTGCCACATCTTCGAGATGGACGGGTACTTCCTGAACCAAGGCAGGCGCCGTGGGACATGCCTTCTGTGGCTCCCCCCCGTCCCCGCACAGGCCTCGGACCATGCGCACCCCCTTCCCAGAGCGTTCCACCCTCTTCGCGGGGGGAAGGTTGCGCTCAGCATCCCGATCGAAGAGAGAAAGCCATCGGGAGCCATGGGTCCCGCTGGACCCTGCGATGCCCCATGCTTGAGGGTCACAACTCGGCTCTCCTGCGGCCGTTCGGGACGATTCGGGCACCCCTGGAACGCTCTCGGCGAGGCGCAGCCGCTGGAAGGCGTCCCATTGCTGGAAAGCCGCCGAGGATCGACGAAGACGTCAAAAAACGGTGAGCGAGGGGGGTGGAAGAGCGGGAGGAAGAGGAGCGAGGTTAGCCCCAAAGTTGCCCCTCCTCTTGGACAGTCCCTCCTCGGCGCACCCCGCGCGCCCGCGCACGCACGTCGTCCGCGCAGGCCGCGCACGATGCCGGCCGCTGGCCGCGCAGCTTCCCGTGGGCACGGCCTCGCGCAAGCGTTGGCGAAGCGTCGTGACTTGCCCATAGGCCCTCCAAAGTCGGCGGTCCAAAGATGGGGCCCTTAGGGGTGGGGGCCCAAGAATACGAGGGAAGGGATCCAAGGGCGGATTCCATTGTTTGAGGTGCAGTGAGCGGCTTGAGTAAGGAACACTTACTTTTCAAAAGGGGCTCGGTCGTTCCTTAAGGCTTGCATGCGTTACGTATCCTTCCTCATGCGTTTTTTTATTATTTATCGTTCCTTATGCTTTTTTCCTTGGAAAACAGGGGCTTCGTTCCTTATTTATCGTTCCTTAGGTCAGGCCGATGAGTGTACTCCGTCCTCAGGGCCCCATCCCTAAGGGCTCAATCCCAAGAGCACTGACGACGAAGACTGTTCTACAACTCTTTCTGGTGGCTTGCATGGCGCCGGCGTGTTCTTCGAACATGTCTGGTTGAGTCGCTGTTGTCTGGACCGGCCAGCTTCACGTTCCAGAGCACAGTGCTTCCGTTCTTGGAGCACTCCGTGGCTCTGAGAGAATGACGCGGTCGGCCTTTAGTAGCGCCAGGACGGCCGCTCCTTGCTCACCGCGAGCGGCGTGCGCCTCCGCCCCGCACGCGCGCCCCGCGAGGCTTTTTCAAGGAGCACCTGGCGATGGTGAGCCAGGCGTGGAGGGGGATGGTCGGGAGGAGGAGGAGGTGCCGATGCTGCCTGCTCTTTCCCTCGTGACCAAGGCTCATCTCGTGTCGAAAACCTTGTTAGCATGGGAGGGGTGGCGGGGGGTAGCGGTGTCGGTGTCTCTCTGTCCACCGAGGGGGGAGACTCGGACCTCCAAGTCCAGGCCTCCCAGATGGGGCTGGAGGTGATAGTTCATGGCGTCGGAGGATGGCACCACATCGCGGATGCATCGGTGATGCGGCGCTGCTTGGAGCCCGGTTGTTTCCTTGCGGACGTCGCCGATGCATCGGCAAAGTGGCGCGATACCTTGACGTCATTTACTCTGGTCCCATTTGATAGGCCGCCACGTAAGATGTTTGCGGTCCAGAGTATCGTTCTCGTCGTTGGAGATCTCAGACATCCAGCGACGATGAAAACGCTCTGCTCTGATTAGTGTTCAGAACGTCCACGCCCTGAATTAAAGGTGAGGCCGAGCGTTTTCACCAGATTCGGCATCTGGGTGTCCGCTTGTGGGCACCGCAGCCGTCCTGAAACGATTCCGAGGATGAGAACCGTGTCTTCCCCCCGAAGGGTTCAAGAGGTCCGATGGCCACCCATTTGAGGCGTTCCGCAAAGGTCCTCGCCATCAAGACCTCGACGGGATGACAGCTCTTCCTTGACGGATTGCCAGCGGAAAACAAAAGCGGCGGCGGCCTCGCCGGCGAATGGTCGGCGTGGGGCGGCGCAAGCCAAAGCGGTATGCCAACATGGTTGGGTTCAGGCCGGCGGCGAGCGAGGGCGGGAAGTGAGAAGGAGAAGTCCTTCTCAGAAGGCGGCGGGCCTTTTCAGAAGCCCTCGCGCCTTTGAGAAGCTGTCTGTGCCTTCGGGGAAAGCCTGGAACACTTCGCAGAATGCCGGAGGACTCCTGAGCCTTCTGAGAAGGCCTGCGGCCCGCGGCCAGGCCGGGGACACGCCCCAGCCAGGGAGGGACGGGAGGGTGGCAGAGGAGGGATGAAGAGCCAGGAGTGAGGAGAGGGAGGAGGAGATGGTGGCGATACGACAGGGGGGAGACGGAGGAGGAGGAGGAGGAGGAGGAGGAGGAGGAAGAGGAGGAGGCTGAGTCTGAGGCTGGCGCTGCAGGAGCAACGGCTCTGCCGCCAGGAGAGCCCGGCGCACCCCGACAGCCCCGGGGGAGGGGAGCGCGAGGAGGAGCTCTGGGACCCCGGTTGGCAGGGGAGCAGTGGGCTCGGGGGTGGACAGACCTCCTACCCTGACACGTCGATTAAGGAATTGGCCGCTTTCGGTTCGCGAGAGGGCGTCGCGGACGTCGTTTTTGCGGGTGCAGGTCCGTCGGTTTCGGTCCCAGGCCGTCGTCACTAAGGAGAGGTTTACTAAAGGGAGGTTTGTCCACCGCCGATGGGCAGTTGCCCCCCCGCCAGGCGGGTCCCGAGTCCCTCGCGGCCATGGAGGGGGTCCAGGGTTATGATGCTCCAGCCTACTTTAGCTTTGATCACCAGGGAAAAAGTTCGAGTACCAGAAAAAAGTACCGAAGCTCAAGGGTTTTCACGTGTCGGGCCCTGGGAGAAGCTCGCCCGACACTGTTCCGGCACTGTTTCGATACTCTTTTGACCCCTTTCCGGTTGCCCATGTAGGGTCGACGGAGGGGCACGCGGCACGCCAGGTCCGTGAACGCGGTGTCTCCGCCCTTTTGGTACCTGAACGCATCCGGGTCTCAGTGGACTCTGGAAACGACAGGCCCGTTTCTTTACCGGTTCCGTTTTGCCGTTTTTTCGCCGGTTCCGACGCCGTTTTTTTACCGGTTCCGTCGCCGTTTTTTGACCGGTTCCGGCTCCAGTTCCAATCCTGGAGCCGTTGTTTTGCCGTCTCCGGTCGCGTTTCTTTTGGCCGCTTCCACTTTCAAGGGGCATTTTTCTGTAAACGGTGAATAATCGGCCCTGCCGTTTCCGGGGTCCACAAAGATTCGGGTCATGAATGCGGCGCCTCAGCCTCTTAGGGTTGCATGTTCTATGTGTGTGTGTGTGCCACAGGTTCTTTGCCTAGCGTACTGACGTTGGCGCGCTGAGGCTGCCACCCTGTCGCCGCTTGCTTCGACCACTGCGGCGCTCCAGTGCCGCACCCGCAGCACCCTGGACAGTACACATGTCGTGTTCCGCGGTCTCCCCTTTCTTCTTCCATTCTCTGCGGAATGCCTCGGCGAGAAATATGATACGTTGTGAGTATTGTTCGTGCATCGTGGAGCAAGCCTGCGACGTCTTGCCACAGACACAGGACTGCTCACGATGACAATCGATTGGGCGCTGGCGTTGGACCCGTCCGCAGGGCGCACACCCTGGACACGGTCTTGCTGTTTGAGCGTGCTTCACCTGGGTTCGATCAGCTGTACAGACGAGATCGGGCCTCGTCCTCCTCCGACAATCCCATCCCGCCTCCCTGCCTGCCCGCCCGCTCGCCCGCGCCCGCCCGCGCCCTGCCCACATCCACCGCTTTGGAGACGTGTCGATGAGGGTTTCGCACAATGGTGGATATTGATCATGTTCCGTCCTCGACAGGCCAGAGGAGTCAGGAAAAATCACCGGCGCGGGTAATTGGCGCCCCTCTCGAGGAATGCGACAATCCCCTGAGTTGTCCAGAATAATGTCGAGGCGCATCCGTCCTTGGCGGTGAAAGCAGCCCGGGAAGCCCCCCGCAAAACCTATAGAAACGTCCAAAGACATGGTTCCATCGCAGGGTGGGCCATTTACCCAATCCGTGCTTCGGTGTGGATCGTACCTAAGCGCGCCTCGTCTTCGTCGTCGTTGTTGTGGTGCGCATTGCCATGCTCGGGACCTGTCCCCCTCATGCATTATTGGCCACCGCTACCAGCCCCGAGCAGGTCGATGAGGGGCGGGCGGGTGCTGAGCGTGGAGGGGTGGGGGGGCGCGGCGCTCTGGGGTGACCTGGGCCTGGAGCTCTGCCAGGCTCCCCAGCCATGAATTATCCGGGAGTCCGAAGCCGTGCGGTGACCACGCCGTCGGGTGAGTCAGTGGGGGAGGGTTTTGGGACTTGGTTTCGGTGCGGCCGAAGTGAGGACGAGAAGAGTGGAGTGGGGACGAGACCACCAGCAGGTCTTGTCCATGTTGCACAGGATTCGCCGCCACTGTTGCCGCGAACATTGCCCATTTGAGGCACAAGGTCGCCTGCCCAACACTGGCCACTGTCGGTTTTGGACGACATCTGCTTTTGGGAGTCGTGCCCGTTCTTTCCGTACCCATTCGGACGCTCCAATGGGTCGTTATCCGAGAATGTGTTTGGCGATTGGGGCCTCCAAGGCCCCCAGCACCTTCGTTGACAGACCGTGCGGGGAAGTCGTTTTGGATTTTCAAGTCACCGGACGGTCCTGTCGCCGCGCTGTATTAGTAAGCCTTTTTGATATTTTGATGTTCTTGGGGCACGTGAAAAAAAGAACCGCTTGGAACCCGAGAAACCTCAAGGACCAGGGTACTTGCAGGCAGGCCTCCCGGGTGGGGCCAGAGCAGATGTGGTCGAAGGATCGCGCCGCATCGCCGAAGCATCGGCGACATTGCGCGATCTGGAGCCCCCTCCTCTCTATCCCGCCGTCGCCGAGGCATCGGCGACAGGGCGCGATTCTCCGACCTCACCTGCTCCGGCCCCGCTTGGGAGGCCTGCACTCTTCTTGTTGGCGAGACTTGGCATCGCCCGGACGTGTGCATTTTTCCTTCGGCGAGGACCATCGAGGAGCATCCTTGATCATTTGGCGAAAAAGCCACGCACGAAACTAAAACAAAAACACAGGGAATGGACGTCCGAGCGATGGCCAGGAGAAGTTGAGGTCCCCCTCAGGGGAGGCTTAGGAGAACTGGGCGCGCGCGGCGCACGCGGGCGGGGGCCCCGCGAGACGTTCTGGGACGACTCGGCCGCCGAGCACGCTGAGGGCACCCTGCGCTGGCTCCTCTACAACAGCCAGGCTGTTGACCCACGCCGCTCGTCGTCGTCGCCGGCGGCGTCGCCGTCGTCACCGCCGTCGTGCTCGCCGTTGCCTTTCGCGAGTTTTGGTCAGTCCTTGGCCTCCTCGGTCGCCATCGCCTCACCGCTCGTCGCCGTCGTCGTTGACCCGCCGCTCTTCGTCATCGCCGTTGCCGTCGCGCTTGCCCTCGCACTTAGCGGGTGTTTGACGGTGGTCTCCCGAGTGCCGGGGCCGTCTGAGATCGTCCTGGTATGAATCGTCACCCTCCTCATCGTCTTCCCCCTTCCCCCAAGCTCCCTTTTTCCCGGAATGTTCGGGGAGGGAGGACAGCACACTCTTCTTTGCTTCACAGGAGATCCGGAAGGCCTTCTCGTCATCGCAGTTCGACCCGGCTTTGCGATTCGACCTCGGAGGGGGCTCGGGACGTATCTTGCAGGGAATCTCGCAGAAACATTGGCCGTGCCTTGCATTGGACGTAAGTGGCCAACTCGGAACTAGAATAGATGTTATGCCGCGTCTCGCTCTGCGCCCGCTGCCCTAACCTACTCCTTCCTCCCTGCTCCTTGCTCTCCTTCCTCCCCTTGCCTCTCTTCATCCGTCCCCCTCCTCCTTCGACATTATATTCCCTGTTCTGCGTCCTCTTCATCGGACGATCTCCTCCCATCTCCCGTCGCTTCCTCCCCCCTCGTCCTCGTCGTGTTTCTCCTCCACAGCCGGTTGCTGATACAGTCAACCCGCATAGTAAGGATGGGCAACCTTCCCAAGGGTACGCTTGCATACCTGCCTCCTCGGTCCATCCTTCGCCGCTTTCGCTGGCCGCGCCCCGCTCGAAAAGCTTCGAAATGGGCGTCCAAGGCCCTTGCATCCTTATCGCGCATCCTTGCTATACGGGCTGACTGTACTGGTCGCCTGGCTCTTACTGCGCCGCCTTGCTCGCCTGAGTGTGTTGTTGCGCGCCTTTCTTCCCCGCTGCGCAATCGTTGTTATTTTTCTCCGCCTCCTCGCCTTCACCTTCTCCCCTCCTCCTCCTCCTCGCCTTCCTCCTCCTCCTCGCCTTCCTCCCTCCCCTTCATCGTCCCCGTGTTTCTTCCGCCCTCGTCTTTGGTCGCTGTCGCTGTCCTTCAAATTTTCGCCCAACCCGCCCCCCCATGTTCGCCACTTCACTCGTCTCCCCCCCGCTTCCTCACCCAGGAGGGGTCCTCCGTGGGAATCCACCTCCGCTTCGGCGACGAAGAGTTCATGGGCAGGAATCTGCCGCTGCAGTACTACAACGACGCGCTCTTGGAGGCGCTCATCCTCGTCTTACTCCTCACCGCCCTCCCGTTCCTCCTCATCATCATCATCATCATCATCCTCTTCTATAGTTTCCTGCTTCTTCTCCCAATATTCTCTTTTCTTTTTCTCTTCCCTCCCCCTTCACTCCTCCACCCTCCCCATCTCCCCTCCCCCCTCCACCTCTCTCCCTCTCCTCTCTTTCTTCCTTCTCTCCCTCCCCTCCCCTCTCTCCCGCTCCCCCTCCGCTGCAGCTCGGACTCATCCCCTGTGCGCCTTGGCCCCTTAACCTTGGTCAACACTCCCCCTGCCCTCTCCTGCGATGGTTCAGGGGGGAGGGGGGAGATGTGGAGGTACCAGGCAGCGGAGGGGAGGAAGGAGGACGATGAGGGGATGAGGATAAGCATTGCAGAACATCGTGACAAGAAAGGCCGGCGTGGGCTCGAGAGAATCTGCGCAGACCGTGAACATGCGTAGGGAGTTCTTCCGACACCATACTTGGTGCAACCTCTCCTGGCCAGACACCCAGGGAGCCAGCACCCTGACGAGAGCCAGTGGCGCCCCCAGAGCAAAGCCATGAGCCACCGAGACGCCCACAAGGCATGTGCCCCCTGTGGCTCCGAAACAGGGCAAGGGTGCTTAGCCAGACGGGGGACTTGGCGGAAGGGCTACGCTCTCGGCAGAAGATCCATGCCTCGTGGTGCGAATGACCACCGGCTGACGGGGGCGCCCCTGGAGGTGGTGGTGAACCAAGTGAGGCAGAACCAGGGGGGGACCTGACAACGAGGGACGAGGGGCATCCGAGATCCCACCCCACCTTGCACACTACCGACCCCAGGGAGGGACCCTCCCCAGCACACCCCAAGCCCCAACAAAGGTGGCCCCGCCTCCGCCAGCTCTACTGCTGGTCGCCAGCTCTAGTTGTAGCCCGCCGATGCAGGCGGCACCGACCACCTCGTGCGGGGGGCGCGCCGGCTATCCTTGAATGCTTCAAGGGCACCGCTATCCAGTCAGGGGGGCGGGGATGATGATAAGGAGAAGGAGGAGGAGAAGGGAAAGAGGGGCCAGTGTAAGCCCAAGAGCCATCAACGATACTGTAATCAACCCTCCCTCCAAGTTCCTTTTCACAGGCCCATGCACGGATTCATGTTTACTGGAGGTAATGCCCCGTTGGAAGACAACAGTTTGAAAATCCAGACCTGTGCCAGGGCACCGTTCCTGGGATTGCAACGCCGCGAATCACCGTTATTGTCGCGCCTTGACGATCCTGTATCGTGCCAGAGCGCCATCCCTTGGACTGCAACACCACGAATTAACGTAACTCCTGCGCCCTGTTAGCCCGACATCGTGCCAGAACACTGATTCTGGGACGCCGACCATGAGAATCCTTGAAACTGCGGTCAACTCAAAACAACTGTGCGTGACACTGAGGCGAGAGCCACATTTTGAAAAGGGACTTCCTCCATTCAATGTTTTAAAACGAATTTGCGCAGCGCTAAGGCGAGAGCTACATTTTGGAAACCACTCGCCCTCCATCCGTGAAGCTCTTGCAAATTGTTCAGACGAGCTTGCGCAGCGCTGAGGCGAGAGCCACACTTTGAAAACCACCCGCACTCCATCCGTGAAGCTCTTGGACGTTTTTACAACTGAAGTGCGCGGCGCTGAGGCGACAGTCACATGTTAAGAACATTCCATCCTTCATCCGTGAAACTGTTGCCACTTTTTATCACAGATGTTCGTGGCGCTAAGGCGAGAGCCACACTTTGAAAACGACCCGCCCTCAAACCAGAAACTGTTGCAAATTATAAGCTTCAGGATCTTACAAGGTGAGGATGTCTCAGGCAAAACGCTTGGCCCGCTCTTTCGACCAACCTCGGTTGCGACAGGGAGGAGAGGGAGAAGAAGGAGGAAATAGAGTAGGAGAAGGATGATGAAGAGGAGGAGGAGGAGGGGGAAGGGAAGGCCGAGAATGGGGGAGGAGTGCGGAGGAAGGGGGGAGGAGGGAGGAGGAGGGCAATCCGATGCGGCCCAGGCCGATGCTTGCATGGCGCTGTCGTGCATCTTGGCTCGGCCGATCCGATTCCGTTTCGACTCAGTGCCGTTGCAGGGCGATCCGGCCCGATCCGATCCGCAAATTCCGATCATATTTTCTGATTCGTTGTTGTTTGATCCAGATATGCTTATGCTCGCCCTCCCCTGCAACGGGGAGCTTCTTCACCACTGTGCCTTTCAACCTCCCTGCAGGTGTTTGCAGAGGGTCAAGAGCTCGTGTCGAAGCATGCCCTGGCCTGCAGCGGTCGCGTGACAGAAAAAACTGATGACGGGCGATGTCCTTGCGATTTCTGCCCCCCCGTGCTGCATTAGGGACCCATGGGCAACGAGAAGGTGGCCCGCGACGAGAGACCAGTGCTGGGGTCGGCGTCGAGAGACCCCGGGGGGCCCACGTCGTAAATCAAACCAGTACGTTGCAGGCTTTGGTCGCTGCAGCAAGAGCCTCCTCCTTGCAGTGTGCAGGGGGATGACCTCTCCCCCTTGGCGGAACCCATGCAGAAACACAGCGAGCGCGAGGGCTGTTTTGCCAGCGGAAGCCCATAGAAGGTCAGCGGAGTTCGGCGGAAGCGAAACAGGAGCACCAAAGAGCAAGCATCGTTGGCGTTCTTAGAACAACCGATCTCGGCATGCCGGTGCAGTCGTGCGCTCATGGTGAAAGCGATCGGCAGTCTGAGAGGACGTTGCAAGGTGTGCAGCGGGGAGGCACAGGATGGCAGGAGGATGGCCAGGAGGGGAAACAGGAATAGCAGGAGGTTGGCGAGGAGGAGGAGGAGGAGAAGAAGGAGGAGGAGTAAGATGGGGGGCGGAACAACAGGATGACGAGATCGGGGAGGAGAGGGCTGGTGGAGGAGGCGCTATTGACCGGGTCCTCTGTCAGGTCAGCAAGCGCACCGGCGAGAAGTTGACGTGCGTTATTTTCTCGGACAAGATGGAGCAGGCCATGAAGAGGAGCAGGCATTTCGACCTGTGCTCGACGCGCATCCCGATGACGCCGGTGGGCGCGCTCGTCGGGGCTGGGGCTGATGGGGGCCCTGATCCATCCTCCGCCCCTGCGACAGTTCCTTCTCCTGCGTCGCTCCGCTTCCTCCTGTTTCTACCGCTTCTTATCCTCCTCCTCCTCCTCCGTCTTTTGCTCTTCCTCTTGATTGTTCTGCCTGATATCGTCATCCTTCCGCTACTGCTCCCCATCCTGCACCTCTTGTTTTTGTTTCGCCTGTCTCTCCTCACCTTCCGCACTAACTCTGGCTCGATGCAAAGCGCTCCAAGGATCGCGGAAACGGGTTGCGATTTGATTTGGCGTGTTTCGAAGCTCGTCTCTGACAGGCCATTGTTATGCACCATCTTTCAAAGAGCTTGGCCAGAATGCCCAGTTTGAGTTGGCACCTCAGCTGCATGATTGCGTCCACAAAGGCTTAGTTATTGCCGATTTCCAGGTCCTTAGAGAAAATCAGGGCGTCTGGTTATTTCAAGTCTGGGCCTCAGGAACCAGTTTAAACAAAAAACTCTCAGCAGGAAACCCGGACGACATTGTAGGTCTAGCGCACTTGGCTTGAGCTTCACGTGTAGGCAATGGCAGATTCAGTGCGCCGAAGATTTGGTTGGCAGTTGTGGATCGCCTCAGTGGCAAGGTCGCGGTGGCGGGTCACAGTCTGCACAGGTGTCGGCGCGAGGCTTTCTGTGGTGCAGCAAGAGGCGACTGTCGCCTGACGGGCCAGTGCAGGCTCGACCCGCATTCAACCACACCTTCGGATGCCTCTACGGCAGGCTCGCTCAGCAAGAACGGCTCGCCTCGATCTCGCGGGTGCCTTTGGCAGAGATCAGCCAGCGCATCACGAGTGTCCGATCCACTGGTGCCGACGGTCATGTGGACCTTCCCGCACGATGTGGGCAGCCTGGCACCGAACAGTCGAACATTGTCCCTGGTGCCTGGTGAGATGTGCAGGACCACGGTCAGAAGGTCGGAAGGAGGCTGTTGAAGCCTTCATGACAAGTGGTGAAAGGAATCTTGTCATGGACCGCTTCAGATACTTGTAAGCCTCTCTCGATCAAAATCTGGGGCTCAAGGTCTGGGGCGACCTCCCGGAGTTGGCGCGGGTGAAACACCGCACCATGGAGCGGTCTCACCAGATTGCGTTTGACAACTGAGCTCGGGCGATGGCCGCGCCATGACGACAGCACTAATTCAAAGTGCCTATGTGAGCACATGCCGTGCATGCGAGCAAGCAGTGCGTGCCAGCGAGCTGAGGTCGATTCTCTCAGATGCGAGCAACGCGAGTATGTCTTCAGCGTCCTTCAATTTCAACGTACACCAGTCAAGCATCGGCACACTTCTCGCGCATTCCATCTACGTCGTATATAAGTGCTTCCATCTACGTGGTGAAGTTAGTTCCCGTCCCTTCCTGGCTTTCTGGCCGGGTTCATCCTGAATTTAGGTATGCACCTTATGTTCTTTGTCGATTCTTCGGGCAGTTCTTATTGGACTGTCCTTCGTAACAACGCATGCATGCCGATTCGTCTACCCGGTCCACTCTTGGGGTTGCCAGCCCATTCTCGGCCTCGGCTTGTGGCGGTGCCTCCCAGAACACAGAGCAGGGCGACATTGGCCTGACAGTGATCTTCAAGTATCTGGCGACGCAGTCGCATCAGGAAGCACGGCGTGCGGCGAAGCTCCGCGACGCACTCGCTCGCACTGGTGGCGCTGGTGGGTAAGTTCTATTTTTGTCAGGAGCTTTTGGTCAGCGCCGTTTCTGGCCCACCACACTTCGGCGCGACACGCTGTTCACATCCTGGTCACCAGGCGTCCGCGTACCGAGCTTTTCCGAGCCTCCCGGCCAGGGGAGTGGAGCCACATGCGATTCGCTTTCAGAGCACAGCGCGTCGCCCAGGCCGTAGAGGCGACACGCTAAGCAAAAGCTCTCGGTCGTACCGCCCTGTTTTCGTAGCGCGGCGCCAGGCTACGTCTCGCATTCCTCCCCTCTTTCCTCCCCTCTCTCCCCCTCAGCTGGCGTTTCGCTATGCATGACATCGCGTGTGGCGTTCTCGGCTTGTCCGGAGGTGTTTCGTCTCACGGCTTGGTGCCAATCGTTCAGTGTTCGTTGGTGTGACAAGCCAAAAAAAAGGTTTGGGGCGCGCCCGGCCTGGGAGCGGCCCCGTCGGGCGTGTGAGGCGGAACCCGGGGCTTGCTCGGTCCACCGCTGGCCACAGCATCCGCGTGACCACCGTCCCGCTCCCCGTTCGGGAGGCCGCGGCTGGGACCCAGAGAGCCCACAGGGAGGAGAACCGCACCCGTTCGTTTGCGATGTCTGCCGGGTCTCGAGCTTCTGTGGAATCAGCTGCGTCACGCGGTTCGAGAGCAGGGGCAGGGACAGGAGGCAGAGAGCTTATGACCTGAGGAGGATGACCGAGAACAAGCATCGACATTGAGGCTGGAGGATGGAGGAAGGACGGATGAGGGGGATAGGGGAAGTGACGAGAAATGGAGGGAAGAGGGGGCAGGGCACGGGGAGGACGAAGGAGGAGGAGGAAGACGAGGACGGCGGAGGGAATAGCGAGGACGGAGGATGGAGAAGGAGGAGGTTTTCTGGACAGCCGCCCATGTGGCAGGTTCTCCCTCAGCGAATGTCGCCATATGCCCAGGGGCTGAGCGACCAGAAGACCTTCTACATGATGAGTATGCTGCCTAACCTCATCATCGCCGACTCCACGTACTCCTTCTGGGCAGAGCCCCCTACTCTTTCTCGGTGGCTTTCGGCGGGAGGGCGGGGTGAACGAGGAGGAGAAGGAGGAGGGTGGCACCAGCGATATGTTGCAATTCAACTGTCAATATGGAAGCCGCCAACTCAAATGCTCGTGCAAACATCTCACCCACCAATCCACCCGACGACAACGACGATGATGATGACTGCAACGACGGTAATGCTCATGATGACGCTGTGGACGATGTCGACAACGACGTTGGTGATCATGATGAACTTGAAAGTGATCCTAATGATAGTGGTAATGAGGACGCTGGCGATCATGATGGCGATGGTGCTGACGAGTATGGTGAGGGCGTTTGCGCGTGCAGAATTTCTGCGAGGGCGACGATATCAGCGTCGACGAGGGTCACAATGGTGGTGATGATGACGACGACGGTTATGGTGATGAGGATGAGGCTGATGCTGTTGATGCTGTTGATGATGATGATGATGATGATGATGATGATGATGATGATGATGATGATGATGATGATGATGATGATGGTAATGATCATGATGATGCTGATTCTGCTGATGATGGTGGCGATGCTGGTGATGATGTTTATGATACTGATGATGGCTGTGAGGATGATGAGTAGGATGAGGATGCATATTATGCTGATGCTGCTGCTGAAGATGATGAAGACAATTATGATGATGAGGATGATAAGGATGAGGGTGAGGATGCTGATGATTATGCTGATGCTGATGACGATGCTGATGATGTTAATGATGGTGAGGATGTTGACGATGATGATGAGGATGATGGTGATGGTGATGGTGATGATGATGAGGATGAGGATGAGGATTAGGATGATGATGATCATTATGATGATGATGATGATGATGATGATGATGATGATGATGATGATGATGATGATGATGATGATGGCAATGGTGGTGATGACGAGGTTGATCAAGTTGGGGGTGATGAGGAAGTTGAGGAAGTGTGCGCGTGCAGAACACCAGGATTTCTATCCAACCGTTCAGTGAATAGTCATTGGGTTTCGTAGGTGGAGCCGATTTCGACCTTACCGCGTCCCAGGCGTGCCACGTGTACGCGGTGGGGGGTGCGGTCGACACGAGCAGGGCCAACGCGAGCGAGAGTGATGCCAGTCAGCTAGACGGACTGTTGTGGCACGAGCACCAGACAGCGGCGCTGTACGACACTAGCTTGGCCAACCGCCACAACAGGCACTGCGATGGGATGTGGCACCTGGGAGTTGGGGCGAATACTTATTTTTATGTGCGGGTCTGGCGAGTCTGGCGGGCCTGGCGGGTCTGGCGGGCGTCGGGGTCAGGCTCGGCAACAGCTGGTCCCACTGTGCCATGCCCATCTTCCGCGAGCTCGCCAGCGGGGGTGCCGAAGAGCCAGTCTGGGAGTTCAGCTTTCCACAGTCCCTGAAGATGTTCGGACTGGCCTTGCAGAGGATGCAGATGGGCCAGCACGCAGCGCCATGCCGAGCCCGACATCCGGGCCCAAGCATCGAGGTAGCCAGACATCACAGAATTCTCGAGAAGATCCCGATGAGAGGTCAGAGGAAGCTCGCCAAGGCAGAGCAGCGGTACGAGAAGGCGCGGCCAGGCCAGTCGCGACTGGGACATCTGAAAGAAACGCTGACAAATTGTGAGTGTCGTTCAGAAGGCATACTGCTCAAAAAAGGTGCCGATGCTATTATCCTGTAAGATGGGGCGAGCCGCTGCCACACGTATGCGTTAGATTTTTCCTCAGGCTCTGACTCCATAGGACTCGCCGTGTCGAGGAACGGTTTTAACTATTACGGGTTTGAAAATCAGAATGGTGTTGACGAAGACCTCACTCGTCCAGTTGTTATCGCTCGAATTCGGGCCGCTGTCGCCAGAAAAGAAGTTACAGCTGCTGCGTTTGGTCCCCCCTGCGCGTCGAGGAACACGGCGGCCGACCGAGTGAGACAGCCTGGGCGTTCTGCCCAACACCCTTGGGGAGTCCCGGGCGCCACCGAACACACGCGGGGTAGGATCGCAGTAGATACTGACACGTTTTTGGTGGCCCTGAAGATCATGGGGATCTTTGTCCGCGCTACGGTCCCCTGTGTGCTCGAGCATCCGGTCCAAAGTAGAACACATGCCACAGCTGAAGCACTTGATCACTGTGGGCGATATGCATGTCCGTGTCTGTGATCAGTGCCTGTTCGGAGCCCGTTGGAGGAAGCGCACCGAACTGTTGTTTTTCGGTGTCGGCCCCCAAGATACCCGTAAGCTCGAGAGGCGCTGTCGCAGTTCTAAAGGGATTCGCTCGGCCTCGGGGAAGCCGCACGTACTCCTCGAGGGCAAGGCCCCTTCTCCGGGGCCGCGTGGACATCTCTTGCAGCCTCCGACCCGCCGAAACTCGCAGACTGCATGGTCAACTGTCTGCTCAGCCGCCGCAGGGATTCAGAAGCGGCAGAGCCCTTTTAGCCCTCCCCACCCTCCCAGTGAAGCCTTTGGGATTTTGGGCTTTCTGTGCGTCCGTGAGCTTCGCCGAGGCGAGCGGCACGTGGTAGCAAAAACGTTCCCCACCGAATGTAGCTGCTGACCTGTCATTGCGTGCAAGGGAAGGTTGAGAGCGAAATGACTTGATGTATCTGGTCGGAACGAACCCGTTTAAACTGGGGGGACCCTGGGACTCCGTAGTCTCTCTTCGGCTCCCGCCCTCCCTTTTTCCCTTCTCGCTCGCCTTACTTCGCCTGGGTTTTCTGTGCGTATGTGAGCTTCGCCAAAACGAGTGGCACGTGGTAGCAAAAGCGTTCCCCACCGAATGTAGCAGCTAACCTGTGTATGTGTATGTATATGGGTATGGGTATGTGTATGTGAGTGTGTATGTCTATGTGTATGTGCAGGTGTATGTGTATGTGTATGTGTATGTGTATGTGTGTGTATGTTTGTGTGTGTGTGCTTGTGTGTGTGCTTGTGTGTGTGTGTGTGTTTGTGTACGTTTAGGTGCTGTGGTGAATTCAAACCAGTTCTTCCAGCCCCCCCCCCCTCGAGCCGACCTCCGGGGGCGGGGGCCGCAGTCGGGTGCGCGGGAGCCCCGTCCCGCCCCCCAGCATTGCGCGCCGTGCCGTGGCGGCCTGTGGCCCCAACGGCCCGACCAGGCCGAATTCGGCCTTCACCAGGCCGACGGTCTTCTCCATGAGGCCATCCACGCAGCTGGCACTCCCATGCCAGCCAGGCTCACGCAGGTCAACGCCGTTAGTGATGCCCATCACTGCGCACCTGGCTCTTGGAACTCCCCCCCTGTCTCCTCCGGCGAGAGGCCGGAGCCTCGCCCGCGGGAGCCCGCCAGCCGACAGAGGAGGCGGCGGCGGAAGCACGCCTTGCGGCCCGATGGGCCGCTGCGCCCGGGCCTCAATGGCGGGGTGGTCGTCGTCGCATCCGTCGTCGGTGTCGCCGCAGTCGCGGACGTGCGGCCAGACACGCCAGCAGGCGTCGAAGATGGTGCGGAGCCGCTTCGTGGCCGCCGGGGCCTCGTTTGCGAGCTCCGCGCGGCGCCGCACGACGAGCTGGCTCGATCGCCACCTCAGCGCCCGCTCGGCCGCGACAGCGGTCCAGGGGGCAGGCAGGCAGAAATCCAAGGCCTCACCCCTCCCTCTCGCCGCAGATCCTGCCCTCCTGGTGGCAGCAATCAGTGGCGACGTCGTACTGCGGCGTGAGGCTGGACAGCTTCCCCGAAGCCCCGCCCTCCATCTTGCCGAGGCCCTCGCCCTCCTGGCGGTAGCAGGGGCCAACTGCGACGTCGTCCTGCTGCGGGAATCCGAAATGCCTGTCCGAAGCATCGCCCTCCATCTTGCCCTCGCTCTTCTCGACCGCCTGGCGGTGATCCACCACCACTCCGAAGCTCATACCGTCCTCCGCGCTCTCCTCCTCGCACCGCCCCTCGGAGATCTTGACCTCGAAGGTGGTGTCCCTGTCAACGGCGAGGGGCTCCTCCAAGGTCTCCTCTTTGGACCCCTGGCCCAGGGAGGCCCCCACGAGCTCCTCCTCCGTCAGCTGCCCCATCGGAGGTCTTGTCCCCGTGGTGCTCGTGCTTCTTGCTGGGCATCTCGTCCACGAAGGCCCGCTCGTCCTCGACGATGGGCCGCAGGCCCCCGAAGAACAGCTCCTCCTTGTCCTGCCCCGTCCCCTCGGCGACCCGCGCTCTTCGGCCCTCGGGCCAGGGCGGCGCCGCCTTCCGCAGCCTGGTGGGCGGCATCGCCACCACCCGCCGCGGCGCTCCCTGAGCGGGGATGGCAGGGAGGAGCCCCCAGCCTTGGGGGCCGTTCGCCACCTCGGAGCTGGAGGCGTCGCAGGCCCGAGCGCAGCCCGCCGCGGGCGCCAGGGCGACGTGCCGGGGCCGCATTCCTGCGGCGCCCGGCGCTGCCTGGCACGCGCGCCTGCCGCCGCGAGCCGCAGGGCAGACCTGGCGGCCCGCTCGCGGTCCTGCCACGACCCAGGCACGGCGGCCGCGGCGACCGGGCTGCACAGCGCGGCCGCACAGGCCTGCTGCCTCCTGCGCCGCGCCGCCCTCCGCGCCGCTGTCGCACCCAGGTCCACCGCTTCCAGGGCGCGGCGCGTGCTGGGCCGCCACGCCGCCGCGGGCAGCCCCCCGGCCATCGCGCGCAGGGCAGGCAAGCGGAGCCCCCTCCCCGAGACCGCACCGCAAGCACGGCTGAGAGAGGACTACGCGAGGGCGCCTGCCACGTCCGGGCGGTCGAGGCTGGAGCCAAAATGGCTACGGGTGAGTGTGAATGTGCGTGTGTGAGTGTGCGTGTGTGTGTGTGTGTGTGTGCACGAGTGGAGTGCGTGCGTGCGTGCGTACGTACGTACGTGCGTGCGTGTGTGTGTGTGTGTGTGTGTGTGTGTGTGTGTCTGTGTGTGTGCGTGCGTGCGTGCGTATGTGTATGTGTGTGTGTGTGCGTGCGTGCTGGGGTTTCGCCTGGTGCCCGCGCGTGGTCGCCCGTCAGCGCCTTGTGGGCGCCTTCTAGCACTAGCTTGCACCATGCAGCTTGCGCCACACAGCTTGCGCCACATTCGTTGCACCGCTGAGCCTACACCACGTAGCTAGCTAGCACGTCCTTGCTTGCACCGCATGTCTTGCATCGCGCTGCTTCCACCACATAGTTAATACCACCTCTAGCTTGCACCTCATAGTTTGCTCCTCGTACAGTTTGCGCCACATATCTTGCACGCCATAAATCGTATCTCATACGCTTTCGCCACTTACCTTACACATCCATAGTGCAACATATGTTTTGAACGCTTAGGGTCCACACTGGCACAAATGCCATGGTTATTTGGATAGATGTGTTTCAGAGTTGTTGGGGCACCAGTGGTTTTAAACTGACTATGACATGCGCGCGCGGCGGCGCGCGCACGAGCCAGCCCCGCATACAATGCTGTTGGTAATGGATTGTTCGGGAACTCGCGTCTCATACCAGCGCGTGTGCATCGCATCGTAGTTTGTTACAGGGACGATCCCAGGTCTTCAGGCTGGCATGCTATGATTTGATTGTTTGGATGAACGACAGTGCGACGTAATCACTTTACGAACACATTGCCTTCGGATGGGGGTGGTTGGCCCCAGCCTCGGTGGGGAGTAAAGTCGAATCTGCTGGGGGATAGGGAGTCTAGAGCGGACTAAACAGGGCGCCCACGGGCGCCGACAGAGTGAACCATCAGCTGGCCCAGCCGGCGCACTGGACGCCCACCAGGCGACGACGGGCGACCACCAGACGAGACGTCGGCGGACATCGCCAGCGCACGGGTCGCACACGAGTCCCCCACGGGCGCCCACCAGTCGATACTTCGGCGGACCCGGCCGCCGCACGAGGCGCCCACGAGGCGCCCACGGGCGCCCGCCAGGCGAGACCGCGGCGGACTCGGCCGGCGCACCGTGCGCCGCACGAGGCGCCTCTCGGGAGCCCACCAGGCGGCACCTCGTCGGACCCAGCCAGCGCTCGGGGCGCCATCTCGGCGGAACCAGCCGGCGCACGGAACGCCCACGATGCGCCCACGGTCGCCTACCAGGAGAAGTCCTGGCAGACCCAGATCCTCTTCCCTTGCTGGCAGATATATTCTCATTTCCTCCTCCCCATCGCCATCGCAGAAATCAAGTGTTGAGGGGGCCCATACGCAGTCCCCAGAGTCCCGACTCTTACTTTTGCCATCCCCAGCCGTTTTTGCGATGGCCCTGGGCCCAGTACCAGGTCCCCAGACGCCGACAGCGGCTGAACAACAGAATCGTCTCGATCGTTCTCCAAAGTTTAGGGTTCTGGGAGCCCCCCTCCTCTCTTCCTTGTATTCTTCTTATCCCCCCGGCAGGACTTACTTTCCTATCCCACTGTGCCATAAGCTCGCGGCAGGGCCTGCAATTATGGGGGCGTCTTCTTCCCGCCGCGTTCGCTCGCGGGGTCGTCCCGTCGGTCCCTTCGCTCGAGCGCGCTCGTTCTCGGCCCCGCCATGCAGACGGTCTGGCCGATTAGTAGTATGGTCTGGGTCAGGGTTTCTGCGAAATTACATTTCCGATGCGGGCATTGGCCGCGTAGAGAGGTGCTTTGTGAAAATGCATAGGCAGAGTCACAGACAAACCTCGCCTACAATGTCGTATCGCACCACGCCGTGACTGGCCGGCCCGTTTACGGCAGGTTCGCGTCGTGTCGACCGGCGGCGACCTCGCCGCTGGCGCTCAA